CAAAATCTTGTGTGTAAAAGCCAAAGAAACTCAGATACCCTCTGTATATTTGTAAACTTGGAACAGAACTAGAAAAGACAGAGAGACTTTTGTCCTTCGAGTCAAAAACAAAATGTTATTTTTTCCCAAAGATGATAGAATTGAGGAAGAGGATGGTATTTCATTAGGCTTTGTCTCTCAAAACCCAGATTTAAGGACCGGAACTCAGCTGAGTATAATTCAGAGAGTTCAAGCAGACAAAAACATAGCTGTGATAGAGATTTCTATTTCACAAAATCACCATAAGTGAATGAAACCTTGAATTAAATATGAGTATAAATTGCACATAATATTGGCCATGGAGTAAAATATTAAAAACAACAGAATCAACATAAAGAAATACTACTATTGATAAGACATCTGCTTATTTCCCAGAAACCGTCATGATGGTACACAAATCAGGGATAGATTTTTCACTCTAGATTTCAATAATCAGAAGAGGACAGGAAAAGCAAAACAGACAAAATTATCCATCTGCACAGTGTGTAGAACATCGGTCTTTCAAGGAGAAAGAATAGACATGAGGACTAAGAAACACATGAAGTTTCAGGAGTAGAAAATTACTTACAGCATCATGTGGTCATTACAAAGGAATGGGTGGGGAGAACACTCAGCTATCAGGAACTAAGACCCAGGAACTACAAAGAGATGTCATAGCTAAGAACAGAATAGAATGTGCAGAATAGCAGGTTGTATCTGTCCTATTAACAACTTCCCTTATAGGTTATTTTCTCCCTATAGATGGCCCTCTTTCCGTCTACGGAAATGATATCCTTTTCCCAATAAGCTTTCTAGTCCCTCACTCTGTTTTCCTCTCGTGTGCACGCATGCACATCTCCCCACCAATTCTTTTCCTGGATCCAATGACTGAGGTAGATAGCTGAACTGACTCCCTGGTAAAACATTTTTCGTTGCCAAGACTCAGCTCAAACCTGTGGCTTTGGGCAGGAGAAAAGAACCATGCTTCCTGTCTCTGTCTTAATTGAGGATATGTTTTTCTACTGTTTGTATTCTGACTTCTTTTCCTCACCCAATATTGTTGTCAGACAGCTTGGGTAGACATGACTGACTTTGAGGTTCTTTCCAAGGCTGCCCCTGAGCATATTTTTCTGGGCTGCTCCACAGGGACCTTACATGGAGGAGACTTCACTCTGATATCAGCTAGTCCAAAACGGTTACAATTGGGGGGATAGAATAATAGAAAGGAGCCGCACAGAGGGCTTGGACATCTTTGAAGTCTTTCAAATTTGAGCTGATTGCTGCTATATACATCCAAGTGTGGTGATCACTAAGGTCAGGAACAATCAAACAGTTCGGTGCTAAACAATTCCTGGAATTGAGGAGGTTTGGGGAAAGTTTAGATTATCCACTAGTCAAATAAAAATTCTAATCATAGGCTTTGTTTATAGTCCTTAGAAAGCTTTTTTTGTTTTTTTTATTTTTTTACTAAACCAATTTAGCCTTGCTCTATACCTGTACAAACTAGGCTTGAAACAATTCTCACAAGCATACTGTGAATTCCAAGCTGATTCTCTGTATTTGTAACCCAAGAGGGGGAGTCAGAAAAAGAAATAAGGAAATCATGATTGAAATTATTTTAAACTTGATAGCCTCAAATCGATCAAAGACCTAACCTGGGCACTGTGATGATAGGTATTCAGAAAGTAGAGATTGAGAAGATTGTGGTTCAAGGCCAGCCTGGGTGAAATGTTCATGAGACTCAGCCTCATCCATTGAAAAGTTGGGTCTGGTGGCATATGCCTGTGATCTCAGCTACTGTAGGAAGCATAAAAAGAATCGCAGTCTGAGCCAGCCTAAGCATACACATGAGACTCTATTTGAGAAACAATAAAAGCAAAAGGGGCTGAGACTGTGATTAAAGAGGCAACTCTAAAGAGTTAATAGTTTATTATTCTGTTCCAAATGATGTCAAATGAAAGGGAAAGCATGTCACATGCTTACACTTTAAATTGCAATTCAGAATTGCTCTCATTTTTCCACAAATGGCCCATGCTTGGTCTGCAGTAGGAGCTATTACTCCACGATGTACTGAAGTCCTGCAGTGACCACCCACCCTCCCTCTGGGGACTGACTGGGCCTTGGCTTCTCTGACTCTCTTCTCTCCAGGGTCTCTTCTCATCCCCTCTGACCTACCCATTCTATTTCCCCTTTAACTCAATACTCTTCCACCCACCACAAAACGCTGAAGTCACCCAGAGTGCTATTATTGGTCCCTTTCCCTGGCATTCTGTATGCTTTCTTAGGAAGCCACATAAGCACCCGCGATGTCGCTCAGTGGGACAATGTTTGCCTAGCATTCATTCACAAGGCTCTGGGTTTGATCCTTAAAAATGAGAAAAAAAAAATCAAGGAAGTCACATGATTCTAATAATGACATCAAAACCTGTATAATCAATATTCATCTCCCTCCTGACTAACACGAAACCCAAGCATGCCTTTTCTTTCTGATGCCTCCCAGTTTCACATATTGAAATTTAATTTGGATTAATCAGCCAAGCCAAAAACTTGGGAGTTATTCTTAACAACTTCTCCTTTGTCTCCCCACGTCCCACCTTCACCAAATACTACTAATTCTATGTATCAAACATGGGTGGAGTCCTGCCTGTCAGAATCAAATGTAAGTTCCAACCTTGAGCCAAAGAGCTCAGGGACAGCACCCACGACCTGAGTTCAAGCCCCTTGACCACCACCAGAATCCCATGTAAACCTCAAGTACTTCTGTAAGCATCCTCAAATGTGCCTTTCCTTCCCAAGTCTCCGACTGCATCCCATCCCCAATCATCCACTTGCCTTTGAGGTACCAAGAATACAACAGTATAAACCACCTGCCATCCCAGAGATCTTAGGTCTTCTGTCATCTTCACACTTCATTGGAAGTGCGAGGGATGCGGCACCCTATGGAAAGCCCTGTTTACCAAAACTTGTATGTTGTGTTAATTCTCCTTGGAGGAGAAATGGGAGATGAGAGAGAGCCAAGGAAATCAGCTTGCCTTTCTTCACCTCTTTACGTACAATCCACAGGCACGTTTTTTTTCTTGTGTCCTGTGGGAGCAATTAACATATTGTGCAATGCACTATGCAACTGACTTCTTCTTTCAGTTCATAGCTTGTTGAAATTGGTAGGAAGCATGCTAAGAAATCACTTCCCACTGGTTCACATCTAGCTTTCATGTTGACTCATTATTGTGCATTACCTATTGTTACAAACACTCAATAATCAAAGCTATTAATATGATACCAGATAGTATATAAAACAAAAGAAGCAATGTTATCATTCTTCACCTTCCTTATGATGCCTCAACCATGTCTATACAATTACATTCATTTAGGTATTAACTTGCATCTACTTTATTCACCTTATTTCACTTGACATAATAACTGTATGGACCATATATTTCTGGGCAACAATGTGAGATTTTGAAATATAATTACATTAAGTCCATTTTCTTGAAAGTAAATCAAATGTGAAAACTATGGAAAATATCTAGAAGATACCCAAATGCCAATGGTGATCTTTCTGTAATTGAATTCTATTATTTTCTTAACGTATTATTTAATATTTTTTCTGAAGTCTATAAATCTTCTCACTCATGATGTTCATAATCAAAATTTTAAAATAGCATTAGTAATCAGCAAGAATAATCAATTGTAGAGCTGGGAATGCGGCTTCATGGTACGTGGTACCGTGGTACATGGTACATGCTTGCCTAGCATATACATGGCCCTAGATTCAACCCACAGAACCACAAAAGCAAAATTAAAAACAAAAAAAAAGAATAATCCTTACCCATTTAGTGAGATGAATCGTGGAGGTCTGGTGGAAGTCTAATATTTTTTAAAGCCTGACAATTTCATAACTACCTAAATAGACAAAGGACTTTGAGGACCCCAGGGTCAAGAAATCTTAGGTAAGACTAGACTCTTCCCCCTTATTAACAGAAAACCAACTTCATGCTGTCAAAAGCTAATGTGTAACTCTGGGATAATTTCATTAACTTCTTGATGCAGATATAGAGAACCTTACAAGTATGTTTTTTCTGGAAACAGTGGCTTACTGCATTAATGATATTCCTAAGAATCCCCAGATGATAGACATTAATAACATGATGAGCACATAAAGTAGGATACTACTCAGATTACCAAGATACTGGTCTGAAGCTGGATGACTTTAGTAGATTATCTCCAAATGAGGTCTCTGGCTCTACCTTCCATTCAAAGATCAAATGAATCAGCCGAACTGCCTAGACTAAGCATTCTTACTGAAAAGCAAGAATGTATGTCTATATTTTTTCCCATTTGAAAGTAGTTCTACTAGAGTGTTTTTGGAGTATTTCAACATTATTTAAAACAGATCCAAAGCAAAGCAAACATCACAAAACCGCTACTGACCATACCACATTATTCACCAGATATTGAAAGATCAATAGCAAGTCGTAACAATCAATGATATATTTCATGACATTTCCCATAAACACTTCTGCAATGTGATTCTATGTCTGTTCTTATCTTTCCTTGTCTTATCCCCTTTCCTCCTCAACTTTACTTAAAACTTTATTAGATGGATAAATTATATCAGAACACAACCCTTTCAAGAAGCTGTGTATGCACCAATCTGCTGACCGATCACAGCTACAAAGCTTCAGTCTGAGTTGCTGCTGTGGAACCTCTGTCTATTTTGCCTTTCCCACTGTCTCCCTGAATGCATGAAAGGTAAATTTGGTCATCTGTCAGGTGGGAAAAATCATACATCCAAACAAGAAACCTTAATGCTTTTCTACTTCCTAAACAAAGGATTCTATCCATGTTGCAGGGAGAGGGAGGAAGAGAAGAAAGGAAAGCTGTGCAAGAAGAGACACAGATTGTGAAAAACATTTCACAAATAAACATAGACCTCTATAGAAGGCACACTATTTCACAAAGAGATCTGTACTTTGAAATACCTTTCTTTGGTGGCATCCTGGTGGTGGTGTCCTGTTGGAATGGCTCAGTGGGTGGCCGGCTGACTCAGGAAGGGATTGCAGTTTGGGGGTATGGGTGGGGGGGACCAAGGTTTCAGGCTTGATCTAGCACACCTGCACACGCCTGCCTGCCACCCAACGTCTCCACCGGTGCTATTTCACGGTCTGAAATATAAGAAGGTACTAATTTCCTCACCATTAAATTTTCATGAATGTTTAGTTTGCCATTTAAGGATGAGAGTCTTCGGGTCACCAGGGTCACATTTTGGGGCTCATGCTTGAAAATACAGTTAAATGAGTTCTGTAAGTCTTGTTGGGCTGAAATCTGGCTTCATCTCACCATGTGCTCGTTTTCAACTCCCCCTCTCCCAGCCTTTACCCTAATTACACATGCTAAGGACAGTGTAAGTTCACTCTTAGAAAGGTGAGAAATACTAACCAGCAGGTACACTTGATAAATGAAATGAGTAAGTAACACAGCTTCTCCTACACCCAGGAGTTTGTGTTTAGCAACGAAGTTATAAAGCATTCAGCCTAGCCATTTATCTTCCATGTGGAGATGTTTAAAAAAAAAACAACAAACAAAAAATAAACAACAACAACATCAAAACTTGACTCTTCTTTCCTCAACAACTACATAAATAAAATTTGCCATAAAGTATTTGGTATTTTTTTTTTCTGAAGAGCTACTGACTTTTTCTTGCTATAGAAACTTCCTTTAGAATGGTCATTCTAGAATGATAAACAAAAATAATGTCCAGGATTTGAATGAAAGAAAGGGACAGAAAGTGTTGAAATGTCACATCCCGGAAGAGGGTGCACTTTTAGAGTGAAGTTCAAGCATTCTCTGGTTACCTTGACAATCGCTGGCAAGGCTATTCTGACCGTGGGAAGAGAAAGTAATGTTTTGAAATGGATCCTCGTGGCATATTTATACCAGAGCAGCACTGGCTCCGCAAATCAATTGGTGCACTTACAAGATCCTTCTAGAACATATGGATAGATAGATGAGTGTCTAATTTTAACCTACCCAGTATGGAGCAAGCCCTCAATTGTTTCAAACAAACCTCACAAGGCTGATGTTTATCTAGAGTGTTTCACTTTTCTAGACACCAGATCTGGACACTGGAACAGTAAGACAAGAGACAGCTGGCGCAAGTGTTCATAGTTTAAAATATCCACAGTGGTTCTTTCTCTTGGGATCTAGGAAGAGCTGAAATTCTGTTGCTACAAAATTACAGAATCTATCATCTAGAGTGAGATTAATACAAAAATATAAGCGCAGATAGAAAGCAATTCTAAATACTATTCTGACAAAAACCATATAAAAACTAGTATAAATTAACAAAAGATGTTCTATAAGGCCTAAATCCACACAAATAATAATATAACATAACTGTGTAATTAACATAATATTACAATTACATCCAGACACACACAGAAAAGCAGCTGTGAAGGTACAATAAGTTAAGCTAATTTAACTTTGTTAAAATAATTTCTATTTATTAAAAGATGTTTCAAAGATAAAGTAAGTGGGAAAAAGTTGCAATTCTCCTAGTATTTCATAGGACTAACATAGCAAATAAAGATCTCCTATGTACCCATATGAAAGGACAAAACATAGAAATTAGAGAAAATAACACAAGGTATGAATAGATATTTCATATGTGAGGACATAAAATGACTTTGAACACAATTAAATAGTGAGCAAGAACACACATATTGATTTTGAAGAAGACAGAAGCATATATCCAATACACCTATGGGGAGAGGAACCCAAAATCATCGGAGGAAACAGAAATCAAGACCACTGCAGATGGATAAAAATGGATAACCATTTTTACCTATTTACCTTTCAAAATTAATAAATGTGCCAAGGCCAACTATTAGAGAACAAGGAATAACAAGATCTTTCCTATATGGCTGGTAGATTAGCTCAAATACTATGGCTATCCGTCCAAAAGTATACTGTAAAGTTGAACTTTTGCTAAACCATGCATGATTCGGGAAATCTACCACTAAAAATATGCACAAGAAATTCTCAGAAGACTCAAGAAGGGTCATCTACCAGCACTATTCATAATAGGATAACATTAAAATATAAATATGGTCATTAATATATAAATTATGGGGTAGTCACAACATTGCAAAATATGATTTTGAACTATTATGAAAACAATGTATAAAACACTAAAAGTAAATAATTTGCTGATTCAGAAATATGTACAAAAATAGAAATTAAAACAGAAAAGAACTTTGTAAAGAAAAACATAGTTGGAAGACTCATACTACCTAGCTGTAATATTTTATTAGAAAGCTGCAGTAGTCAAATCAGTATAGCACTTCTTATCCAAAAGACAGACAAAACGAATCACAGGGACAGAGGAGAAAATCCAGAAATACTCATATAAGCAGTAAAGTTAAAGAGAATTCAGCTTAGCAATTTATCTTCAAGTAGAAAAGCCTAAAAACATTACTTTCCCTTCTTCAATGACTGTGTAAATAAAATTTTCATTAAGGAAACATATTTTTCTGATGAACAATAATTCTTATTTTGCTTAAGGCTAGTTTCCTGCCACAGCTCCACTTTTGGTGGTTACTTGGGTCTCATGGACTTTCCTTCTTGAGCTGAGTTCAAACTGGGATCCTCAGATCTCAGCCTTCTGAGTAGCTAGATTATAGGAATGAGACACTGAGGCCCAGCTCCAAACACTTCTTGGTATTTTCATGTGCAATCAAATATAAGCTTTAAAAAATGCATTCTAACAGGAAGAATGAGAAGAGGTAAACACTTAAATGATGACTTAAATGATTCATCCGCAGTAAGTAAAAAAAGACAGGTAGTAAGTGGTGGCTGGTGGCTCTCACCTGTACTAGAGAAGCTGAGATGTGAGATCCTGACTCTCTCTGCTCTGTCTTCTCTGTCATGTCAAGGATAACTGCAGAGTTCCAGGAACTTGGAGAGCTGTTCAGTGGAGTTGATAGTTCCAGTGTTTGAAGCAGAGATAACCTCTATCCCTATGCAGTGAGTGCATCTTCACTTAAAACAAAAAGAAAGGGCTGAGGTGGCTTGGCTTCGATCAGAACTGCTTAATAATATACTCTGATCATTTTACACTATATCCGGAACAATCACTAAGCTCATAGTATGAAAGAAGAAAATGAAGATCAGAACCAAATGTCTGACAGAGTAACACCAGCAATGTTCACAACCACCTCTGAATCATGGGGAAAGGCCCGGTGTCTGCTGTTGTCCAAATTTGGCTAAACCTGGACAGGATAAAGCACGTGGACCCTAAGCAGGATGAGAGAGCAGGGACACATTATTTTAAATGGCCAAGATGTGGCATTGAGCTACATTTAGCCTAACAAAACACAGAATGTCCATGTTTGACATGAACCCCATGAATACCTGGCTAATGCATTTCTTTTTTTGTTTGTTTCGTTAATACATAATAACATCCTTACAGAAACTGCAGAAATCTCAAGAGAATAGCACAGTGAATTTTAACCAAATGACAAGACCTTCTAGCTCCCTGGCAGCCTCCTCCAACGGGGTTTTATTCAAGGCTGCGTGCATGCACTACTGTTCCACAATAAAAAAGCCTTATTGGGATTTTGATTGAGTTGCATCAAAATAATTTGAGGATGGCGTTAGATTGGGTCTCTCTTACTTTCCTTAGTGTTCAAAAGAGTCTTCTGATAAAGGTTTTGGGGGCCTGAAGTTGTTAAGGTGGGGGGCTATGTTTGGAGCAAAAAGAGTGGATTATAATTATGGATTCAATTTCTTTATTAACTAGAGAAGCATTCAGAATTTTTTTTAGACTTTCTCCTGTCTGTTTTGCTAAATTTCTAAAGAAAAACAAATCCCATCCCATCTACATTTTGTAATCCATTGGCTTTAGGGCTGTTCCATAATGCATGAAGGAATAATTTTGTGTGTTAGAAACGTTCTATGTCTTTATTTTGGTACACATTTGTCAAGATTCATTGAAGGTGCATTTTAAGCAGGTATCTTTTTTATAACAAGCGTTTTAGCAGCATACATTAATTCTAAAATGGGGTTTCATCATGACTAATAATTCCATAGATGGATACAATACACTTTAAACAAGTTCACCCCTCTATTGCATCCCTTTTACCCTCTTTACAAAGATGTTCATTTGATTTCAGTAAGCTGTTTAATTTTTAGTAGTGCCAAGGATTGAATTAGGAGCCTCAGACTTTCTAGGCAGGTGCCCTACCACTTAACCTCTGCTCTCAACCCAATTTGGAGGCAAAGGTTTTTCTCTTTGTGTTTCCCATGAAGCACACGGGGGGGGGGGTCTGCTGCACTTTATGCCTGAGCTAGCCTCAGACCAGGGTCTTCTTGATCTTTATATCCCAAGTGACTGGCACTACAAGCATGAGCCACAAACACCTGTCTCTATGCTATTAATGTATCCATCCATCTAGATAGATAGATAGATAGATAGATAGGTAGATAGATAGATAGATAGATGGATGGATAGATAGATGGATAGATAGATGGATAGATAGATAGATAGATAGATAGATAGATAGATAGATAGATAGATAGATAGATAGATAGATAGATAGATAGATAGATAGATAGATAGATAGATAGATAGATAGATAGATAGATAGATAGATAGATAGATAGATAGATAGGTAGGTAGGTAGGTAGGTAGGTAGATAGGTAGGTAGATAGATAGATAGATAGATAGATAGATAGATAGATAGATAGATTCACTTCACTTCCAAGAAGTCTGTCATTCTCCCATATCTCCCAAACCCCCAGTTACTCTTTCTTTTACACTCATGTCCCTCTACTATAATATTGACATCATCATTTTAGATGTTGATGCCCTGTATACGTGTCAATACGTGTTACCCAGCTTCTTAAACTTGGCCTGTCTTGTTTAATGTGTTAACATCCGTTCATTCTCCTAAAATGGCTTCATTTCATTCTTCTTTATAACTGAGTATGTCTACATTTTCTCCATCCATTTATTGCTTGTTGGGTACCTCG